CAATTCCATGTTCATCTACCAAGAGAGGATGTGGTGTTGTTTGGATGTAAACATTCCAGTTATTGGAATATTTTCTATGGTAACTCTAACTTGATAAAGTGATTTTTTTATGTATTCATGATAGCGCACACATATAATCTTAGTAGATATTGATAAGGTTCAATTACTGCCAAGGGCCACTCAGCTACAAATTCCTAGACCAAGTTCTGAAAGAACAGGGACTGCCTGCTTCAAACCTAGGAAATCAGTATCTGCAATCTAATGCCTGGAATATGTAAAGCCCCAATGTTTGCTGAGTGGGATGAATAAATGATGTACACACAAAGCTAATTCACTTTGAGGCTTCTCCGAAGCCAACCTGACTTCCCCTGGAGATCCCAGATTCTGTCTCCTTGCATATGCCTTCCTATTTAAATTTTAGCAAAGACATTTGTTCATTGTTAACATTCTTTTCATAGGAATTCACAATGTAACTTCCTTCTAAACTTTAATGCCAGAAAAAAAAAAAAAAAAAAAAAACAACCCAACAACACTTGAGCGCTTCCTTTTATCAAATGTAAAAACTTCATGATCCCTCAGTTGTCTCGGTTGCCAGGAAATTCAGACATGTTTATATATAATTGAAATTATTTCATCTTCTGATAAAATTTCCCCTTTAAATGACACCCTGATCTTTGCATCTTTGATACCTGTTACATTTTAATATATTGTGATTGCTAAGTGTTTCCATTTTAAATACCCATTGATTTCTTATAGTTTTGTTTGCTTTACAGTTTCCCTTGGCTCTCCCCTTCGCCCATCTCCCAACACGGTTCTATTTCTATATGTGATATTGTATTACCTTTAACTTCATAACTTGAATATGGTCGTACCTTTTACTTTGCTTCCTCTCCCGGAGACAGTATCTCTTGATTTCTCTCTTCACCACTCCCCTCACCTATCCCACATAAAGTGAGGCTATTCCTACCCTTTCCCCCTTGTCTTTCACCCACTCCAATCTTCCAATTTGTATCAGCTGTCCTTACATTGTCAAAGCTGATACTTGCATTCAGTGCTATAACCCAGTGTTTCCCAACCTTCTCTCATGATGAGAATCACCTGGTGGAGTTGTTAAAACACAGATTCCCGGATCCCAACTAAGAAGTGCTAAACTAGAATTTTTGAGAACATATAGGTAAAATTGCATACCTAACTTAGTCCTCTAGACGTTTTAGAGGACTCCAAAGGAAATATGTTCTTCATTAGTGAAAGTCACAATACTCAAATTAGCTTCATGAAAATAAAACGTTAAAGCAATTTGTTATGACCATGAAAGAAAAACAAAAAAACTTGGTTATAATAAAAGCAAACTTCTAAATGGGCAAGAAAACAAATGTTTAAATCTAAGAAGAACATATAGTATACTATAAAAATACAAGAGGCAAAATGAAAGCCTAAGAGGTTGGTCTAACAAAAACAATCATTCCTAGAAATAATAAAACGTAAACGTACGTGTTGTATACAAGACAAATATGGTAATGCTTCTAAACGTCTAGGTAGCAAAATAAATCTTAAAACAGGCTAAGTATATATTCCCTTTCATCTATTGTAGATGCAGTTTATATAGGCTTAAACCATGTATTCAGACTTAAAGCATCTAACAAATTCCCCTGTTAACTGAGGGCTTTCCATGTACAAGGAGATATACTAGGCACCAGGGATGAAGGTGAAGAAACAGATTTTTCAAGGACTTGCAGGCATGAAAGGAGGCAGAAGAGAAAGCAATAAACCACCACACTCTACAGGGTGCCAATGAGTAGGACAGAGCACCTAACTTTGCCTGGGCGACTTAGAGGCACAGTATCTGAGGAGATGTTAAGGTTGTGATCTGAAGAAAAAAGGTTTTCTTAGGAGACAAAAGGAAGGGCAGAGGATCATAGGCAGAGAGTAGCCCAGCAGGGTGGGGATGTGAAAAATCAGAGCCATTTGGATAATGATGAGACATTTGTTAGTTTGGCTCATATAAGCAGTGTGAAGATGGCAGAGGAAGCTGGATACTCAGGTAAGAAACACACCAGAAAGACCTTATACATGATGTGATGGCTTATAGATTCAAAGCAAAGGAGCGAAATTTGGATTTTCATCAGAGGAAAGATTTGGGACTTGACAGAGGGCCCAGTGAGGAAGTTTAAGAACCAGTGTATTAGTCTGCTTGAGCTACCATAACAAAACACACGAACTGATGGCTTAAACAACAGACATTTATTTTCTCACAGCTCTGGAGGCGAGAAGTCCATGGTCCATTTGCCGGCAGGGTTGGATTTTCCAGAGGGCTTTCTCCTTCACCTGCTGAGGGCCATCTTCTCTCTGTGTCCTCAACATGGTCTCTTCCTCTTCATATAAGGGCATCAGGCATATTGGATTAGGGCAGTGTTTTTCAACCTTTTTTGGGCAAAGGCACACTTGTTTCATGAAAAAAATCACGAGGCACACCACCATTAGAAAATGTTAAAAAATTTAACTCTGTGCCTATATTGACTATATATAAAGTAATTCTCTTGAATAGGAATCAAATAAACACAAAGAAAGTATTTTATAATTACTTTATTATGAAATATTAAGTAAACAAAATAGTGAAAAGTTATAAAATTCTTGTCTTGTCTGCACCTACGGCACACCAGGCAACATCTCGCGGCACACTAGTGTGCTGCGGAACAGCGGTTGAAAAACGCTGGATTAGGGCCCCACTGAATGGCCTCGTTTTACCTTTTTTAAAGCCCTATCTCCAAGTATAGCCATAGTCTCAGGTGCTAGGGGTTATGGCTTCACCTTAAGAATTCTGGGCAACGCAATTAAGTCCATAACACAATGAGTGGCAGTAAAAATGGAGAAGAGGGGACAAATGGGAGGGCAGTTAAGAAGTAGAAATCAACATCACTTGATTGGTTGAGTCAAGCATACGCAGCACATAAGGTCTCCTTGCTGAAACCGGTTTGGCTCAGTGGATAGAGCATCGGATACCTGTGAACTCAAGGGTCCCAGGTTCTATTCTGGTCAAGGGCATGTACTTTGGTTGCGGGCATATCCCCAATAGGGGGTGTGCAGTAGGCAGCTCATTACTGTTTCTAACTCTCTATCCCTCCCCCTTCCTATCTGTAAAAAATCAATAAAATACACATATTTTTAAAAGAAAGTGGTTCAATTTTTTAATGACTGGTTTGACATATAGTGCACATGGCTGGCTATCAGTCCAGATATAGGGATTATGTATTTTTTTTGTCTGCCAAGAGCATCTCCACCTGCTGACCTCCCCTCCCCCTAAGGAGTAACCCTATCCTATATAATCTAGCTATACTAATAAAAGGGTAATATACTAATTAGACTGGGTCGACCGGCCATCTTCTGAGCATACAACTTCCTTCTGGACAAAGCCATGGTGGTGAGGGTCGAGGCAGAGGCAGTTAGAGGCATTCAGGCAGAGGCAGTTAAGGGAGATCAGGCAGGCAGGCAGGTGAGCAGTTAGGAGTCAGCGGTCCCAGATTGTGAGAGGGATGTCTGATTGGAGAGGGTGCAGGCTGGGCTGAGGGAGCCCCTCTCCCATGCATGATTTTGAGCACCAGGCCACTAGTAAAATAAATAATGAATATTTGAACAATAACAATATAACACACCTTAGAATGCCATAGTCTTAGAGCATCAAGTAGCCTGAAATCTGTACATGAAATCTATTTGAATGGCACTAGTGATTTAATGTGGAAAACAGGAAACAAGATGCATGGGGAATAACATTTATTTATTGGCTATATTGTGAGTATTTTTTTCAGACAATCAGATATGGATACTTTAAAATTTCACATTGCTTTAGAGATCCAAAGGCAAAGACACAGTGATTTATTATGTTTTTAAAAACTGACAAAAGGGGGTATTAATTCTGATGATTTTTAATCAATTTAACACTATTATACACCAGAGAGAAAAATTCCACAAACATACCCTCACAAAGCTGGTAATTTTATATTTACAGAGTGTTATTATAGCAATTTTAAATGTTAATCTATGATACAATGTTACTTCGGAAAACATAAAAAATATAGTTTTTTAAATAGCCATGCTCCATTTGTTTATGAAAGATCTTTAGTCCATCCTAACACTTCAAAAATGCATGAGATATTGCAGTCAGCTTTATAAAATCTTTAAGACAGAAGGCTGTCAGATGGAATAGGCAGAGGGCTCATCATCACTTAAGTCTGAATCATCTTCTTCAACTCCTTCAATCACTGATTTCTTCCCTTTACAACAGGATACAATTAATCCAATTAAGAATACCTGTAAATAACAATGAACTATGTTATTTCTCAAATCTAAAGTCATTCAGAAAATAATAAATTTAAAATCCAATGGCACTACTGTGATACAAATGGACCATTAATGGTCAAATCACCTCTGGGATAACCATACTTACCCCAAGGAAGGCCCAGTTACCAAAATAGTACGCAGCACTGAAGAACCAGAACTTATGAAGAAACAGATATGTCCGGGTGACAGTGCACTGATCTATAAGAGCAAATAAAAACTACTGTGAGATACTATCTCTCTTGATGTGGACTATTAATACTGTACTTTAACAGTTATTAAACAAAACTAATGACCAAGGTCTCAGAGACAATAAATATTTAGAGACAGGACTGGTGTCTACGTCTATCTCCAAAACCCACTGTTTCAATTTCTTACTATAACTTAAATTACCAACTAATAGGATGTATTTTTAAAAATGAATGCCACCAATGTAATCCTGGCTAATAAGTATTAAAAACATTATACTGGCTAGTTCAATTTATTTGAAATATAAAAAGCATTTTAACCAGAAGTGTTAGACATATTCTAAAACAGATAAAGTTTTCCTGATGAATATTTAAAAAATGAACAATGTAATAGGATGTGGTTAGTATTAAGCTACACTTTTCTAAGAATCCAATTATCAGGAGAGCCCAAACTTGAGAAGTTTTGTTTTGTTTTCTTTCTTTCTAAGAATGCTATTGAAAAGATGGCTGCCTCTTCTCAAATATTCAAAACATCATTTTATACTGATATGCTTACTATTTGAACTTTAGATATCATTATAGCTTGAATTAAAAATAAATCATATACTTTTTCCAAAAAAACATATATCTCTTAAGGGGAAAGTGGCAACTGGTTATTTGCTATTTGTGTCAGATGCCACAGTGATTTTATCCAAATACATTATTTCTACTATGTTAAGAAGTCCTCTATCTATCTTGACATATACATAGTAAGTGGTATCTAAGGAAATACGTATAAAACCATTCAGAAAGGTCTGGGTGACACAATATAATGTATAATGTAACTGATTGAAAATTATGAATGCAGCAGTTAATATAGAATTTCAACCTCACAAATTTCAGAAGATCTTTATTCATTACAGAAGAAAATACTAACTTACAAGGCAACTTATTAGCCAATTATAAAAACAATTATGATTTCCTCATATTTTTATTGAAAATGGACAGTGGCAAAAAATTCTACATGCAATTAGGAAACCAATATTACATCCTATTGCTGATTAAGAAAATGCACTGTTGATTTTTAATTTTATGAACTCTCTTTAGCTTCAATAAATAAGTGCTATTTTTTCTTAAAACTGTACTGGAAATTTTGTAGTCCAGTTTATTACCCAAAGGATCTAATCATTTTTATTTTTTAGCTTTCATATGGTTTTCTGAAAAGTAGCATTTAGGTTATATTTTATCAAAACACAGGATCTGTTATGTAAAGCTTTAGATCAATGGTTCTCAATCTTCCTAAAGCCGTGACCCTTTAATTCAGTTCCTCATGTTGTGGTGACCCCCCAACCATAAAATTATTTTCATTGCTACTTCCTAACTGTAATTCTGCTACTGTTAATTAATTGTAATGTAAATATATATGTGTGCACACACACACAAGTGACTGTTCGACCAGTAGCTGTGATGTGCATCGATCACCAGGGGGCAGATGCTGAACACACAGGCATGGAAACATGGAACAGACTGATGAATCTCAGAGGGAAGGGGGAGGGGGAGGGTGGGAAGAGATTAACCAAAGATCTTATATGCATAGTAGAGGCTCAATGCATGGATTTGTGCACCGGTGGGGTCCCCTGGCCTGGCCTGTGGGGATTGGGCCCAAACCGCAGTCTGATATCCCCGTGTCCTCTCACAATCTGGGACCCCTCGGGGGATTATCAGACTGCTGGTTTTGGTCCAATCCCCACAGGTCAGGCCAGGGGACCCCATTGGTGCATGAATCCATGAATCAGGCCTCTAGTACAAGTATAAACTTCTTTGAAAACGTCCTTCAGCTTTCTCAACATACTCTAAACTTTAAAAACAAAAGTTTTATAACTGATTTCCATACTTAAAGGTATTTTTGGAATCAGAACTTACTGAATTAGAAATTCAGAACACGGATTACAAAACAGAGACTAAGCTGGCAGAAAGAAGGAAAATCAAATCACCTTCCCAGAGGTATAATAAACACTCGGTGACATTTTAAATTGGGTTATATCCAACAATTATTTTGCCTAACACAAATCAAATCTTAAACATTTTTTCTATTACATCGTTTTCCTGTCACTTGTTTACCATTTTTAAAAGTTGAAGATTTGATACACTTCTTCTAAAATAAGATTAAAAGGTTAAGTCATTTTTAGTGTTCTGCTTTGTTGTTTAGAAAGATGACACTAGACCATAAATCTATGCACACAATGTGTATGTAACAGCTCTTTATAGTTATCTTTATATGTACATACCAGAGACCCTGTGCCCATGTACAATCTGGGACACCTGGGGAGATGTTGCACTGCTGGTTTCAGCCTGATCTTCACAGGCCAGGCCAAGGAACCCCACTGGTGCACAAATCTGTGCACTGAATCTCTAGTATGCATATAAGATCTTTGGTTAATCTCTTCCCGCCCTCCCCCTCCCCCTTCCCTCTGAGATTCATCAGTCTGTTCTGTTTTCATGCCTGTGTTTTGAGCATCTGTGCTTTGGTGGTCAGCGTGCATCATAGCTATCAGTCAAATGGTCGGACGGTCGCTTAGGCTTTTATATAGAGAGATACTTAATTTATATTTAGTGGCTCATGTCCATAAAATAATTTGATTAATAAGTCCTACACACATATTTTATATTCCAGTGATGATTCCACACTGAATAAATGGAAGGGGGGTGCCCTTCTTTCCATTTGCCATCTTCCAGGTGCTCACCCGAATGACACACATCTAGTTCTATAGATGTCTTTCCACAGTTATCTACAAAAATTCTAAATGGGTATTTTGAACTTTGATCTTCAAAGTAAATTGAAGTTGCTGGATGTTTCATGTAGAGATTGTGTTCTAAAATCAGAAGTGTTCAGCAGACTTGTGATGGTTGTTCCACAAAAGAATATATAAAAGCACCAATTAAACTAAAGAGGACCTGTTAACAATGAAAAACTAAAAATAGGGGCTCAGAGAAAAAATTTCTTTCCTAATATCAAGCGGCCATACCGAAAGGAAAAAAAAAAATTCCCCTTCCATTTACCCAGCCCCATCCTGACCTTAAAATTTAAAGGACAGATGATCAAACAAAGCACAGAACATGAAAATGTTAAGTAGAGTAAAAGAGACAACTGAAATTGACACTTTCATTAAAATCCTAAATCTCATACTATCTGTGCAAGTTTTAAATCATCTGTTGAGACGTTAGTTTCTGCATCTGAAAAAAGGGGGATTAACTGCTTAGATGGCCTTTCTAGTTTTGTTTTCTTATTTTCACACTAGAGGCCTGATGTACGAAATTTGTGCAAGAGTAGTCCTTCCTTCCCCTGGCTACCGGCACTGACTTCACTCCAGCACCTGGGACCCGGGTTTCCCTCCAGCTGCTGGCAAGGCAACAGGGACCAGGCATTCCTTGCAGCCCCAGCTTCATCTGGAAGGTCGTCCAATCTAATTAGCATATTACACTTTTATTATTATATTATTATATTATATTACACTTTTATTATTATAGACAAGAGGCCCAATGAATCAGGCCTGCATCTTCGCCAATCCAGGACCCCTCAGGATGTCCAACTACTGGTATAGGCCCTGTGGGATCGGGCCTAAACTGGCAGTAAGACATCCCTCTTGCAATCCAGAACCACTGGCTCCTAACCATTCACCTGCCTGCTTGATCACCCCTAATCACTCTGCCTGCCTGCCTGATCACCCCTAACTGCCTCTACCTGCTTGCCTGATCACCCTTACTGATCTCCCCTGCCAGCTTGTTTGCCCTAACTGTTCTCCCTTGCCTGCCTGATCCCTCTAACTGCTCTCCCCTGCTGGCCTGATCCCTATAATTGCTATACCCTGACAATCTTATCATCCTGATTCTTCCCTGCCAACCTGATTGCCCTAACTCCCTCTGCCTTGGCCCTGCCACTGTGGCTTTGTTCAGAAGGATGTCTGGAAGGTTATTAGGAAGATGTCCAATCTAATTAGCATATCACCTTTTTATAGTATGGATTCTAGTTTACAATTTAAAAACTGTTCACAAATTATGCATCCTCTTTATGACCTTTATTTTCATGTTTATAATTTTTACACAGAAACAGAGGGGGGGGGGAATTATCTCTAACTGACATTTTGTCTTAAATAAATGTTTTCAGAATGTTAAATTTTAGAGGTTCTGTGAAAACAGGTCAACCTGTTTACTTGTTGGCAAAAGTGAAACAGCCAGGCAAACCTGTTTTATTTATAAAGAATGTATTCTGAATCACTCATAGGCTTGTTTGTTCAGAACTTAGCATTCAACAAAGATATTGATGCCCATTTTACTTTGACTTTTCCCTAATATTATATTTAGTTATTTAAAAGAATTCTTACTTTCCCCCTTTGTACTTTCTATATCTGATTATAACCCTACCTTAGATTTTGAATTTTCAGTCTGCTCAGTTGTTTTGTAATTCAACGCATCATCAGTTTTTATTTAAGCATTATCTGCTAACTTGAGTCATCTTAACCATCCTATCTATAATAAAAGAGCAATATGCAAATTAACCATCATCCACTAAGCCCATAAGCCAAGCAGGAGCAAATATGCAAATAAACCCAATTAAGATGGCTACAGCTACAGAGAGCAGGAGGGAGGCTTGGGATTCTCCGACAATGGAGGAAGCCATGCTTTCCGCCTGCCCTTGTCAGTCTAGGCCTCCACTCAAGGCTACAAAGTTTCAATGATATAAGTCACATAAATCCCAACAAAAATGGCTGCCACCACAGAGCAAGCAGAAGGCTTGGCTCCACTCTAGGCTACAAAGTTTCAATTGTAGAAGGTAAATAAATTCCAGATACCAGGGCCTCTGCTTGGGTTGCAGGTTGGCCTGCAAACCACAACAGGCCTCTTGCCCAGGCAACCCCATGCTCCAAGGGAACCCCCACCCTGATCCGGGACACCCTCAGGGCAAACCAGCTGCCCCCGCCCCATGCACCAGGCCTCTATCCTATCTAATAAAAGAGTAATATGCAGATTGACCATCACTCCAACACACACGATGGCTGCCCCATGTGGATACAAGATAGCCATCACAAGATGGCCAGGAAAGGAAGGCAGTTGGGAGGCACCAGGCCTGCAAGGGAGGGCAGTTGGGGGTGATCAAGCTTGAAGGGCAGGGCAGTTAGGGGTGACCAGGCCTGCAGTGGAGGGCAGTTAGGGGCAACCAGGCTTTCAGGGAAGCAGTTAGGCATTAATCAGGCTGGCAGGGCAGTGGTTAGGGAGTGATCAGGCTGGTAGGCAGGTGAGCAGTTGGGAGCCAGCAGTTCTGGATTGTGAGAAGAATCCCAGATTGGAGAGGGTGCAGGCTGGGCTGGGGACAACCCCTGCCCCTGTGCACAAATTTCATGCACCAGGCCTCTAGTTTGTTCTATAATATTATAACTTAAAGCTAAAATCTAAAGCTGTAGACCATTTGATTATTGTTAAGGCTATCTATATATATTAGGTTAACAAATAAACTTGATCAGAATCATCTGGCAAAATTAACTTTGATATATACAGATTATTTCATTTCCAGTTACTTTACTATTCAAATAACACAAGTTTCTTATTGGGTGATAACTTTGTAAGTTATATAAATGAATGTCTATTCAGTATGTTGTAGACCTAAAACTAATATAAATTACTAGAGGCTCAGTGCACAAAATTTGTGTGTGTGTGTGTGTGTGTGTGTGTGTGTGTGTGTGTGTATGTGTGTGTCTCAGCACCCTCTCCAATATAGGACTCCTCGAGAGCCATCAGACATCCCTCTCACAATTCAGGACTGCTGGCTCCCAACCGCTCGCCTGCCTGCCAGCCTGATCACCCCCTAACCACACCTCTGCCAGCCTGAACATTGCCTAACTGCTCCCTTGCTGGCTCGATTGCCTGTCCCCTGCAG